GACAACCTTCCGTTAAGCTATCTCATTCTGTTCTTAGAACAAGGGAGGCTTGGGGGAGAGAACAGAACTCTGAGTTTAGGGCCAAAGGAATGCAAGGTCACCTCTGCTTTCTCTTTACCCATCAGCACAATAAGTGACAACAAGAACGAAGAAAGAGAATCCTGAATTTATCTGCACAAAGGAACAAGTTGAGAAAAAGTTTAAAAAAAAACTGTCCCCAAGTTCATTGTCTTGAAACAGTCAATTAGCCTGGTAAAAGAGAAGCACAATTGGGATTTTCATCATATGTGTTATTTTGAACTCTACCTAGCTTTTAAGAAAGAAGCTTAAAAATTATTTGTGTCAACCCTGTAGGTTCCATGAAAACTAAATGAAAAAGATGAAAAACTCTGAGGTTACAAGAAGTGAAGGACATTACAGTGGTACAGCCAGGATTAGAAGCCACATTGGCATTGCATGACTTCTACCATGGGCGTCCATACTCTCTCCAGTACAGACATGTGGTTTCCTATAAAGATAGAGAAAATAAATGCTATTCAGTTCTCCAGGAAATAAAATGCTCTGGGAAAATTGAGACAGACACGAATCCATCAGAACTTGAATGAAAATTCTCTTGCCACCCCATATATCATATACCCAAGAGAACATGTAAGTTTGGTAACTGAATAGTCATATATGATATGACCCCATGATATTCATTTAATGCCTCTCCACTCACTCCACACTCATAGCTTCGTGAATCCCCATACCCAGGCCACCATTTTGTAAGCAGCAATAAGTTACTCATGGTCTCATGGACCTCATTCAGTATCCACACTCTTTCTCCCATAACGTTGAACATATTGACTGAAATATGAAAATAATCTCACTTTTCCTTCCAAGAATAATTCTTGTGAATTGAATCAAGGAGTCGGGAAGGACAGCTGGAATCAGAAAGCAAAATAATATCAGTTACTAATATTTCCCATTCTCTGTTCACGCTGGTCTTATCTGAAGCTTGTAAAGTCATTTAATCTTTTCCATCATCTCAGAGGAAAGAGAGCTCGGAAAATCCTAGTCATCCCACAGTAACTATCAGTGGGATTTTCCGTAACTATCTGGATTCGGAATGAAAATCTCTTAAGAAGTTGATCCAATTCTAAAACTTACTTTTCAACTTACTAATAAATACAAAGAGACAACCTATCCATATTTTCTCTCAAATAACATCTGGTTTCTTGGCCAGACTTCTGATACCCCCCCCAAAAAAATGTTTTGAGTTTGTTTCAACAAATCTACATTTAGAGTTCAAGATGCATTTATGCACCAAACATTATTTTCTACATCTGACTTAGAGCTAGCAATGAGACTGTAAGATAGAAGCTTGCCAAGACCTTGGAAAGAAGAGGAATAAGATTGGGTTCTGAAAGCTAAACCATGAAACATGCACTTAACAAAGGAGGGTAAAGAAATGAGGAATCATCACTAGGAGACACAAAAGCATGCAGGCCAACAAGTCTGGGGCATGACCTCACTGAAGGTGTAACCTACACATCAAAGACCACATTAATCAATCACAGATTCATGGAAGAAGGAGAGCTGCTAGTACAGACTGGGGCAGTACCCACCATGCTCTGTTAAGAGGGGAAGGATTCTGGGCCAACACAGTGTGAATAACAGAACCAACGACAACGAAACTCAATTGTGAAGATGAGAGCATCACTTCATCCTCAACTGGTTACCACTAAAAACCACTCTGGGCTGGCTTTATCTTCTTCACCACTGAGAAGTCAACAGCGCCCAGAATGAGCAATCATTGAGTGTTCGTTGAATGTATTTGCTCCAACTCTTTGCTCACAACTACCTGATTATTATCTGGTTCCCCACACCATTTTGACTACAGGAGAGGAGGACCTCCTCTTATGGATTTGAAAATCCTGGTAGCCTTGCTAGCTGTAAAACTCACTGAAATACAACACAGCACTCGAGTCCGCATGCCCCGAGGCTGTTCCCAGAGGAATATCCCGTGTGTAGTGCTGGATAGAGTTTCTGAGTCCATGGGGCTGGTGGAAAGTCTCTGGAACAAGGGAAATTCATGAGGATGATGATGGTAGCGGTGGTGGTATTGCTAGTAGAGAGGGAACAGACTATGGTCACAGGCTAAGTGTCTTCAATGCACTATCAGATGCTGGGCCATCATTTAATGCCCACAGTAATCTAACAAATTAGTTACTCTAAGTATTCCCATTTTGTAAAAGAGGAAAGTTACCCAAAGACCCACATTCAGAAATTGGGTTCAGACCTAGGCTTCCCTGGGTTTCAAGTCAAATTTCTTAAATTGTAAAAAATAGTATGTCTGAGGGGATGAGACTTTATCACTCTCCTGCCCACACTCTGTCCCGGCAGGAGTGAGCACTGGGCCATTCCAGCCCCTTCACCAGGACTGCTCACCAACACACCACTATGGTACCAGCCTTCACTTCACCTTGCAGAACAGGAAGTACAGAAACCCAGCTCCTCTCTCAAGGATTAATCATTCACTCTACATGGATACAGTCAACTTCAAGGGCCAAAAACGGAGGCCTCCTGACTCTTCCCTCTCCCTTCCTTCCCCTGCCAACACTGGATCATTTTTACATCCTTCAGTAAAACCTCCCCAATGCATCCATTCATCCATGTCTCCCTGTCCTCACTGCCACTACCCATCTGTCCCCTGAATCTTTATAAAATTCTCTGCTTCTGTCCTTGCTCTGCATGGCTCTGTTTTACACCCACATTTCAAGGCTGCATTCTCAATTCTCAAGTGATCTTTACATAATCTCACCACTGCTACTGTTAGGGTATCATGCCCTAGGCCTCAGCCCTAATAGTGATTGACCTGCAGGCCTAGGAGTAAAACTCAGCCCTGTGAGTCCCCATATGACGACACACCAGGTCTAGAGCACACCCATGACACTGTGTGCCAGTCTTTCTTCCACACTTGCTTGTACAGGTGCCCCCAGGAAGTCTGGCTTAGGTGCTTATTCCGGATGTTTTCACCATGCCCCAGATCACAAGCCATTGTACTATACAAGGATTTTCATTTGTGTGACTCCACTCCTACACAACCACCTCCCAGAAAGCCAGGACTCACTCTGCTGATACATAATGAAGTCTTGCTGAATGAGGCAATGTGAGCCTGGTATATCATAAGTGTCAGAATGCAGCCAGGCCAGGAGACACGGGCCTGAAATCCCAGCACTCTGGGAGGCTGAGGCAGGAGGATTTAAATTCAATCCCAGCCTGAAAAATTTAACAAGATCCTGCCCCCCCCCCCAAAAAAAAAACTAAAGGGCTGGGATATAACCCAGTGTGCAAAGGCCATGGATTCAATTCCTAGTACCAGAAAAACAAACAAACAATCCACTCAGCTTCTTCACATCTCAGTCTCAGCTGTGTAATAGCGGGAAATTTTTTAGTCTTCCTGGACCTTTGTAAAATGGAGGTTATAAAACCAACTGTTAGGCTGTTGAGAGATTTAAACTAAAACATATCTATGAAGTTAGCATCATATCTTATATCATAGGCATTCAACTGTTAGTTGTTATCATGTTTATGTCCTTTAAGAAGACCCAACCCAAGACATTCACATGAGGTCTCCAGAGGCTTTGTATTCATTCATCTACCATAAAGTCTGCTGTCCCGGGCCTCACAGGGGACATGTACAGTTGTGCCTAGGTATCCAAGGAAAAGGGTTCCAGAACCCACGAGCATCTTTACCCAAATCTCTGGATGCTCAAGCCCCTTATATAGAATGGCACAGTACTTGCATATGAACTACATCCATCCTCCTATGTGGTTTAAAGCAAGTCTGATTGCATCTAATCCTTAATGCCATGTAAATGCTATGCAAATAGATGTTCTACTGTATTAGGAGATAATGACAAGGAAAAACGTCAGTACATGTCCCATTCAGAGGCTAGTTGGATCCGCAGATGCAGAACCTGGGAACACAGAAGGGCTGCTACTACATACATTTCACACAAGCAGTACCTTACACCCTGAATCTATTACTTGGAAGCTTCTAGTCTTGCCGTACTTTTCTCAAGATGCCTAAGCCTTCACCAAATGCTTTTAGACAAAATGGGTTTCTCAATGGGTTTGTTTTGTTCTAGAAAATAATGCACTTCCTGCCCCCTGGGGCCTTTTACCAGGGGCATTCACACCCACCTCCTCCAGGGGCAGGGACCACACAGAGGCCAGCCAGCGTGAACCTGCTGGGACCTAGTGGTAGTAGAAGGAGGGCCTGGAGACAGGTGGTGATCCCAAATTAGAAATCAGGTCTTAAAGGGGCCGGGACCAAGAGGATAGCTTGGAAAAGATGTCCTCTGTCATAACGGAAGGGGAAATGAGAATGGTCTGACCATGGTAAAAATATATCCATGTATGCATTGTAGTATCACTCTCTGTGGAATTTTATACAGTCATTAAAAACAAATGGGGTCAATTAACGAAATGGCAAATACCATGTAAAAGAAGAGTTTAAGTAATAAAAATATATGGATAATAGTATATGATTTCTGACAGTATGTAAAACCAGCTTTAAAAAAAACTTAAGGGACTGTAAACCAAAATGTTAATAGTTGTAACAGGACGAGGTGACTGACTCTTTTAAAAACTCAGTTCCCCATACATTCCCTTAAAATGTAGATATTTCTTTATAAAATATTCCTTTTAAATGTAATGTTGTTAAAAATATATCTGTTCTGACTGTGTCCCTCCAGATGGCTGCAGGAAGGAATGAACTAGTGCCTCAGACAGGCCCAAGGCAGGCAGAGTGCTCCAGAGCGACTGGCCTGACTCAGCAGCCGCCAGGTGAACTTGAACTTGGTGGGGGAGGGGGGATGGTCTCCCAGCAGCTCGGTCCTGCGCTTGCCGGGCCCTGCTTCACCTAACCCCTCCTTTCTTGGCACTGCAGGCCCAGCCCCCCACCACGCTGTCCCCAGGGCCCCTCCCGCGCTAGCTCTGGGGTCCCCACGTACCTTTTGCAAGGGATAAGCGCCTTCTTCTCGTCCAGCACCCGCACGCGCTGGTTGGGGCCGTCATAGGACAGCAGCGCCCGGCTGTTGTGTCCACTGCTCTGCAGGAACAGGACCTGGCGTCCCTCCCACTGCTGCGGGGCCTGGCAGGGGCGCGGCGTCCCGGGGGACCCTGCGGTGCCCAGCGCGCACAGCCCGCCCAGCGCGCAGACCCAGAGCCAGGCGGCCAGGCTGCACTGGGCCTCGCAGGGTGGGGCGCGCCCTGGCATCGCAGTGCGGGCGGCGGGAAGCCCTGTGCCGAGACCGGGCCCGAGCTGGGCCTCTCAGGCTGCTGAGATCGCGACGCGAGGAGCTAGGGCTGCGGAGATCCGATCCGAGAGCAGCTGCTCCTGCCTCGGTCTCCTCCTCCTGCAGCCGCTGCTTCCTCGGCTCACTGCTGCCAATGGGAAACGCAGTGGCGGCTGTGCCACCGACATCCTGGAGGGCACCGCGATTTAAGGGGGCAGGGAGCGGAGCGGGAAGGCACCGAGAGGGAATTGTTTCTCCACTCACGGAATGGGGGCGATTTCAAGGTCACGACGAGGAAGGCTGCATTACATGTAACTTGCCACTTGGAAAAACTGCAAACTTTCTCCAAATTAAACAAGAGAGACTGGTCCCTTCAGGAAGAAATGATTCTTACTCATGATGGCACTTGCAACAGGCCTGGGATTCAGGGACTTTGTCTTAAGGTCTCAGAGCAGCAACACTGCTCCCCTTCCCCACCAACCGGCAAGGTCTGGGGGGGGGGGGGGCTCTGGACCTTGAAGTGTTCTTTGGCCAGGCTGGGGTGCACTCCTGTAACTGCACCCCTCCAAGAGGTGAGGCAGGAAGATCAGCATCAAGAATTCAAACGCAGCCCGGGGAATTTAGCAATATATGAAGACCCTATCTCAAAATAAAAAATAAAAAGGGCTGGGGATGTAGTTCAGTGTGAAGATCCCGGGTTCCATCCCCAGTAGGCCCCAAACAAAAGTTAATTGTATTTATATTTAAGTGATGTTCAGCTCTGTAACATGTAATTTTTTAAAAGATGGCAACTTCAAAAAGACCTCAGTTTCCAAGTTCATCGCTTCTTTACAAGCACTTGATGTGGAGGATGAAGGAGTCAGGTGAGGACATTTCTGAATGAAGGACATAGTGGTGGGTTCAGGCACAAAGCAGAAGACTACCCTGGAGCCAGATCACTCAGGACCTTAAAATCCATTTTAAGGATTTTTGTTATTAATACTGAGGATGATGAGACCCATGGATGGATTCAGAGACCCATGGATAGATTCAGAGCCAGAGAGGGGCATCAAGTATGTACTTAGCTAAGAAGGCACTGAGCTGTCAGCCTGGTGAATGGGTAGGGCCAGAGAGAAGGCAGAAGACCTTGCATGAAAGTGTCATAATCCAGGCAAGAGATCCAGGCTGAGCTAAGACACTGGTCAGAAGAAGGAGAGGGAAAAATAAGGTTGAGAATCTTAATAGAGAAGGATTTAGTTTCAGAGGGACTCAGATGTATGTGCATGCCTCTCACTCCAGCACTTTGGGAGAATTGCAAGTTTAAACACAGCCTGGACAAATTAGGGAAACCCTGTCTCAAAATAAAAAATTAAAATGGCAGGAGACATAGCTCAGTGTGAAAGCTCTGGGCTCAGTCCTCAGTAACCTTCCATCAATCAGTCAGTCATCACAGGGGTAAGGATTTCTAGCTTGGGTCACTGGGATTCAGTGCTAGTGGGGAAAGGAGATCAATGCCAGCTAGGAGCAGCTGACTTTAGATCCCAGTGGGACAGTCAGGAGGAGACACCCAGGAGACAGGTGGACAAACACTTCCAGAAAGCAGCAGGGCTCTGGGCTTTAGAAACTATGCCCACATAGGTAGGACTTGAAGCCCCAGAGTAGAACACCAGCTCTTAGAGCAGTGGCTCTCCACTCTCCGGGGGACACTGGGCAATGAATTCCCCAGCCCTCCAGGTCAAAACTGAAAAAACCTGGAGTAGCATGTGTTAAGAATAAAAAGAGCTGAGGATGAAACCCAGGCTTTTCAAGGGTGGGCAGAGAAGCAGGCACTTAGGAGCCTGAAGGGGTTTGCTGGAGAGAAGGCCCCAGAAGGAGGGAGCTTGCTCAGCTTGCAGTAATGGACTGAGTCCCTGAGTCCGGTGTCCAGGACTCATAGGCCCCAGGGGAGGCAGGAAGAGGAAGGGCAGATGGCAAAATCCCTTGATGGGTCTGCAGCCTGCTGTTTCCAGCTCTGCAGAGAGACCAGAGACATGCCCTCTTTTCTCCAAAATAAGACCTAGCTGGAAAATAATCAGCCTTGAAGATTTGAGATCAAAACTGCCAGCCCCAGTCAGCCTGTCCTTGCCTTACTTGCCATCGCTGTTCTCTTGCTTGGTGGCTACTCTGTAAGATAGATAAGGCAAGGATAGGCTGATTAGAGCTGGCACTTCTCTTTTTTTTTTTTGGTACTGAGGATCGAACTCAGGACCTTGTGCTTGCAAGGCAGCCAGTGGAACCACTGAGCTAAATCCCCGGCCCTGGCATTTCTGATCTCTAGTTTCCAAGGCTGATTATTTTCCAGCTGGGTCTTATTTTAGGGAAATATGATAACACCATGCCCCAATAGGGTAAGCGAAGAGCTTTCCAAAGAAGGACTCTGACTCCCCATCACCCGTGTGTAAAGGACATGCAATCAGGGAACATCAGAGAGGCCCCTGAAGCCTGGGGCCTCAGGACTGGCATAAACAAAGGTAGAAATCCAAACTGGTTGCTAAAGTCTGAGCTCCCTCTAAGTTTGCCCTCTTCAAAACAACTCATAGAAAAAGGGTAGGGAGGTCCACCCTTTGCTTTCTCCCCGGTAGGAACCCATGCTGAAAGTCTCTGTCACAAAAAGGATTTTGACTCCTAGGATTTCCCTGCTGAAAATGTCCTGATTTTTCACCTGCAACCACTTTGCTTGCCTGATGGTTTCCTCACCCAGTTTGGTATCTTTGTGGCTTTAGGAAACCAGAATATTTTTCTCCATGGACCTGGGCTGTCCCCAGAGAGATCAGGACTCCACTGGTGAATCCTGAAATGTGTTTGTCTCATTTATCCTTTTAGCTTAACCAGTTTAACTCATGTTCCTTAAAAAAAAAAAAAAAAAGCATTTGAAGTGCTTAGCTCCATGGTTGGGCCATTGTAGAGGCCCAATAAATGTCAGTAATACTTATTTTCTCAGCTATCTTAGTCCTCAGTCTTGGTCAAGGTCAAACTAAACTAACTTTGTGGGCCTGAGCTTTGGAGAGGAAAAAAAAATGTCAGCCTCAAATTTAGATTTCAAACTGAACTATGGTTTTAAAGATTGCTATTCGGAGAATAGTAATGTTTCCCATTGCTAATGCCCCAACCAAATATACACCAGAAGTCTTACTGCTCACAAACTGATGTATGCTGGCAACAATGAAGCTTCCCTTTTCTGTGGGGAGTGGATGGGTCCAGCAGTTGGTCTTAACTCTTCCTAATGCAAGTAAGATAGAAGAGAAAAGAAACAAACTACCCTCTTTCCACAGTACACAGCTTCCTATTCAAATGATCACTTCCAAGTACATCAGAGATCAACATTCTTATTTCCAGTTGCTTGAGAGGCCGAGGCAGGAGGACCGCCAAGTTTACAGTCATCCTAGACAACTTAGTGAGCCACTGTCTCTAAAATAAAAAAACAAATAGGGTCTGGGGTGTAGCTCAGTGGTAAATGTCCCTGGGTTCGATCTCCCAGCCTAAAAAATTAGGGTGTGAGGATGAAGATCACTTCATATGAAGACTGCTGCTAGACCTTTCTCAAGCTAGAGTATGCTTTCGTGGTTCTGAGCCTTCCTGTTAAGCTCCTGGTGCAGACACAACCCAAGTGCGATTCTGCAAAAATCTGAGCCAGAGCGAATGTTCACTGCCCCTGCCACTGCCACCACCACCACAACAAAACAAAAACAAGCGGGACAGAACCAGGGCGCGTGGGGTGGTTTATATAAAGTTGTCTGCCTCCCCCCCCCCGCCCGACTGTGTCCCTGCTCGGCTCGTCTCACGCCCCCTACTGGACAAAACAAACAGGCCTCCGAAGTCGAGAGCCGCTGTGCTTCCCACCCCCCACCCCCCAACACGCTGGGGGAGAATCCGAGCCCGAGGGAGCAAAGGGAGCCTTTCTTTCTCTTGCATTTCTCTCCTGCACCCTCCCGTATCCGGCGTCCAGAAGGACTAGCCAGATTGTCTTTTTCTCTCGATCCTAAGAAAAAGGAAGGACTTCGCGACCATGCAAAGCCGGGAGGCGATGATGTCAGCGCTTCTGCACGGAGGGGTCGGGGGTGGGGCAGAGGGGAGCCGAGCGGCCCGGGAGTGCGCGGCCCACGTCAGGGGAGCCAGGGATAAATAGGTCGCGCCATGGCCGGGCCGGCTGCGCTCCGAGCTGCCCGGGCGGTGCGCGCCCCCGAGGCGAGGCCGAGCGCTGGTGCCCGTGCACCCGACGGCGGAGCTCGGCGGAGGTGGACCGGGGACTTCTCCGGAGACCCCGAGTACTTCTCCGGAGACCCCGAGTACTTGCTCCTGCTCCTCCTGCACCTCCCGGGAGGCTCGGCTGCCGAGGCCCAGCGGGGCGCGGAGCGCGACAGCAGCGCCATGGTCCCCTCCGTCCTCGCCGCGCTGCTCCTCTGGTTGCGCCTGGCGCCAGGCGTGCGCGGCGCGCCCTGCGAAGCGGTGCGCATCCCCATGTGCCGCGCGATGCCCTGGAACCTCACGCGGATGCCCAACCATCTGCACCACAGCACGCAGGAGAACGCCGTGCTGGCCATCGAGCAGTACGAGGAGCTGGTGGACGCCAACTGCAGCGCCGTGCTGCGCTTCTTCCTCTGCGCCATGTACGCGCCCATCTGCGCGCTCGAGTTCCTGCACGACCCCATCAAGCCCTGCAAGTCCGTGTGCCAGCGCGCGCGCGACGGCTGCGAGCCGCTCATGAACCTCTACAACCACAGCTGGCCAGAGAGCCTAGCCTGTGACGAGCTGCCCGTCTACGACCGCGGCGTGTGCATCTCGCCTGAGGCCATCGTCACCGACCTCCCGGACGGTGAGGCAAGGAGGGCAGGGCAGCAGGAGGTACTGCCAAGGGCTGGGGCTGCCACCTGCGAGCCCCTTGGACTTGGTTCACTTCCCAGGCCTGGAGGAGTGGGAGGGGTGGGGAGGAGCACTGGGAGGGACTTTTGCGAGGTAAGGGAAGAGCAGGATGCCCCAAGAAAGGAAGAAAAAGGGCTCACTCCCAGCTGAGACAGGAAGCTGAGACAGGAGAAGGGCAAGATAGTGCTCAGCCTGGGCAATGTAGAAAATTAGTGAGACCTTGTCTTTAAATTTAATACAGAGATGGAGATGTAGCTCAGTGCAAAGGCCCTGGATTCCATCCTCAGTACCACAGTCAGTCAATCAATCTTGGTTACAAGAGAGCCATTGGCAATGCTTTTATTTACAATTATAACAGAAATAGTAATAGCAGATACAACTCTGTGTTTGTGTGTGTGTGTGTGTGTGTGTGTGTGTGTGTGTGTGTGTGTGTGTGTGTAGTGTTAGGCCTGTTACATGAGTTGACTCGTTTAACTCTTAAGTCAATCCCACCAGGCAGGGATTAATCATGTAGCTGCTCCTGTTTGAAAGGTCTGAAAGAGCAGTCACGGTTTTTCCTTCTCTACCCCACCCGGAGGGAGGTTTGTGGATGCAGCAACCCTGGGAAATGGTGACCTCCTTCTCCTAGTTACTGACCAGGAGCCAAGGCATGTCCTGTGGCCAAGGACATGTTAGCTAAGCTCAGTCTCGGCTTCTTTACCTCCCTCCTTTCTCTTTGTGAAGTTTGCTGCTTTTGTTGTAAGGAACAGGACCAAATTCACTTCTTGAAATGAAACCTTAGGCTAGGTCTGCATTCTTTTATCCAGGCTGCCCTGAGCCAGGTTGTTCCCAATTAGAGATGATGTGTTGACTATGCGCGATCTCTAGGCAAGCGCTATCCATGAACAAGGAGCAGTGAAGTGGAGAGGCAAATTGAAATTCTTCTCTAATTCAAAGTTTAAAAACATATATTTATTGTTTAAGTTATTTTTCAGCACTGGAGATTGAACCCAGGGCCTTTGCACTGAGCTGCATCCTTACCTCCAACACACGTGCACACGCATGCACACACACACACACACTCTCTCTCTCATACACACACACACCCCTTTTTTTTTTTTTTGAGACAAGGTCTCACTAAGTCACTAAGTTGCCCAGACTGGGCTGGAACTTGTGATCCTCCTGCTTCAGCCTACCAGAGTGCTGAGGTTACAGGCATATGCCACCATCCAGTAGTGCTTGGTGTCAGTTATGCAGCTGTGAACTTTTTTTGCCTGCAAAATGTGAGGCAGGGATTTAGAAATGTTCTGTTTGTTTTGATTAAACTATCACATGAACAACTGGGCATGGTAGTGGACCTCTGTAATCCCAGCATTCAGGAGGGTGAGGCAGGAGGATTGCCATGAATTTGAGGCCAGCCTGAGCTACCAAGTGAGTTCAAGGCCAGCCTGAACTACATAGCAAGGCCCTGTGTCAAAAATCCAAGTAAAACAAAACAAAATTTAAACTATCAGGTAGAAAATCAATGTTTTGGGAAAATCATAGCTTTGGGAGAGAGAGATGCCGTTCATCCAGGTGGGTTAGATGGGTTTACAGTGGCATCACTTTGTGCTTGGGGAGATAAAGTGTCACCTTTCGGACTTCTTTTCTTAGCCGGGATGTTCTTCTGGAAGAAGTACTTGACCATCAATTCTGTCTTTACTCTTTAGTACTGTTCTTTAGTGCCATGTCAGATGGTTCCTTATTGAAGTTGGGCGAAAGCCCCACTCGCTGACCGACCCATGTGGCCGTGTGTGTGTTTCAGACGCCAAGTGGCTGGACGTCACCCCAGATATGATGGTTCACGAAATGCCCCTGGATGTCGACTGCAAACGTCTCAGCCCTGGTCAGTTCCGCCTCCGTCCTTCCCTCTCCTACTCCCCCTACAGTGACTTCTGTGCTCCTTGGCAACTTTTTTTTAACCCTTGGCATTTTTTAGATCGGTGCAAGTGTAAGAAAGTGAAGCCAACTTTGGCAACGTACCTGAGCAAGAACTACAGCTATGGTGAGTCATCGCGCCCAGCTGTTCACGTTGGGGACTGGACACAGAGTAAATGAGGCTGCTGCTTTTCCTAACTGAGTATATAGCCTCTGGACAGAACAATAACAATTATAAGAGATCTTGCTTTTCTGAGTAAATCGAGTAAAAATGAAGTAAATGACCCAGGTGACAGCAGTTACATGGAGCAGATTTGAAGTTCTTGCTCCAGTTATCTTAGAACTGCTGTTAGTAAAGAGCAAATCTCCTTTCTTCTTCTTCTTCTTTTTTCTGGTACTGGGGATCGAACTTAGGACCTTGTGCTTGCCAGGCAGGTGCAGTGCCACTGAGCTACATCCTGGCTCCCTTATTCTTCCTTTAACCTCTTCCTGTGGCTGGAGGTCTGTGGCCTTGATGATTTAAGGCCCAGAGAATTAAGATCAGCCTGTGTATCTTTTACTGTAAATAGCTACAAATATTTAACATCTTAAAGAAATTATATTAATTACAAAACCTATGGCTGCAGTATCAAAATAAATGCCCTCTTATTTGATAGAACTGTTCAGCACTTTCTTTGAAGAAAAAAGTTAACCATATTTTAAATGTTTTAATTAATTTTAATTCTACTATCATCCTTTGAAGGTACATTTAACTAAAAATACGTTCTTTAAATTTTTTTATTCTACTTGGGCTATTTTATATTTTTGGCATTGTTTCAATTATTTCTGCTCAAATAACAGAAAACTGTTTTGGGGGAATGTGTTCAGTGTATTTGCTAGCTTAGCTTTCATATGTCAAAATGCAATTTTTATCAGTAAGGAAATTTAGATTATATATCACACATGATAGTAGGAAGATCACAATAGTACAGAAATCTGAAAAAATAGCCTGTACTGAAACGGTCAGTTTGGAGAATCCCACAAAGCAAAATAAGTACGTGATTGAAAAGCAAAATAAGTACATTTTCTTTTGCAGTAGGTTTTTTTCTTGAAACCTGACCTATGTGGATCTTAATCAGGTTTACATAGTCCCTCATCTACCCGGAAACAGCCCTAGGTGTTATCAGAGCTCCTCTGCCAAGCTGGTCTATGGGGTGTCGTGGTTTTGTGGCAACCTTGAAGATGAAACATTTTTCTACTTTTTTTTTTTTTTTGATACCAGAGATTGAACTCAGGACCTTGCTCTCGCGAGCCAGGTGGCAGAACCACCGAGCTAAATCCCCGGCCCAGATGAAACATTTTTCTATTCAAGTGCTTTTGGCTCCTCCAAAAGGCAGCTTCAGGATGGGATTCAAGATGGTCCCATATTAGGCTAATTACAAGTCCACAGGAGGCAGGAATAATAGCAAGGAAGGAAAGAAGTCAGAATTTAAAACCTGATCAAAGACAGTGACTTGAGCAGCCATCTGTAATAACAGTTCACCCCAGGCCTTCCTCTGTCAGTCTGGGAATTAAAGGATTGGGAACAGCAATCCTCAGAGATCCCTTGCAGTTCAAAGATGTTATGATGCTAATAACTTTTTCAGGTAAGCAGAATAAGGTCAAGCATCAGAGGAGTGGTTGAGGGAATGCAAACTTTATAGTGACCACAGAATTTGAGAATAGGTGATACTCACTCCAAATCATCACAAGGGAACGCAGAAATAAATAAATGTTTCTCTGAAACTTTTGCTAACCTCAAGGCAGAGCTTTTCCGTCCTGTAGTGTGATTCAGAACTTCTTAGACAATGTTGACAATATGGAATGTTTTGCATTTAGCCTATGACTGTGTGGGCTTTTTGCCTGCATTGGGACTGGTGGGACGTGACCATAATTACAGGAGTGATTCTTTAAGAGAAGCTCAGGATTTGGCTCCAATATACCTGTCTTAATTTCCCCCCAAAGGCTTCAGCAGTACTTACATGGATTTCTTATTGTAGTTATTCATGCCAAAATAAAAGCCGTGCAGCGGAGTGGCTGCAATGAAGTCACAACCGTGGTGGATGTCAAGGAGATCTTCAAGTCCTCATCGCCCATCCCTCGGACACAAGTCCCACTCATCACGAATTCTTCCTGCCAGTGTCCTCACATCCTGCCCCATCAGGATGTCCTCATCATGTGTTACGAGTGGCGCTCGAGGTTAGCAGGGAGGTGTGCAGGGACCCATACGGGGCATCCACAACGTGGAGCTCACTTAGGAGCTGTAGTTAACACACACACACACACACACACACACACACACACACACACACACACAGGAACACACCTACGCAGAACAGAATGGCCCTGGCCATTCTTTCTGAATAAGTCATTTTAATAGGATATTAAATATCCCAATTATCAATTTCTTATAGAACAAAGGAAAAAGGAAAAAATAGGAGCATTTTCATAGAATCTTTTAAAATCAGTTTCAGAATTCACTGATTTCAAGAATGTATAGGAAATGTTAAACTGTTTTGAGTAAGAACAGTTCTTTTCAAATCATTCAATCAAAGTTATTGTGAACGATACTAAATTTTTAAAGGTCTGTTTAATAATTTACTGGTGAGCTAGGTAGCCGTCTGAGGCTACAGTTCCACATGTTTTCCTAATACATTGCACACATGCTACACACACTCACTTGTGCACACACACACACATACACAAAGCAAGGTGACTTCTAAATCTCAGAGTGTCTGTCTGTCAAGTCATCACCAGGCAAAGTATAAAGCAATGAGTATGTTTCACAGACACACACACCTCTGAAGCTGGGAGATTTTGTCTCCATATCCCTTTCCTGCATTTTTTCATAGCACCCGTGCATCTTTGTAATGAAGCCAAACTCATCAGCCCGGGTTCCAGGATGGACGCTATCACTTACTACAATATGCTACCCAGGAAAATCATGCATTTGTATCTAACAAGTCATTCTTTCAATTTCTGCCATGTGTGCTTAGCTGTTTCTTTTTGCTGAGAGCCAAGACTCCATTCCTCCAAAAAGAAAACAAAAATATCTTTTAAAATTGACCTCAGTTGGACAATTTCTTGTATATGTCATTAATACTTATATCCCTCCTCATAGGCCACCTTGTATTCTTGACTTCTAAGCCATCCTACTTATATGTTGTCTCTCTTCAGAGGCAATTAATGTTTTTGGGCTGTTCTCTTACATGCTGTTCCTATCTCCTACAGTGCTCAGTGCAGTGGGGAGAGTAGGTTGCTAGCCATTCGATTCTGTATGGACAGATGAGTGGATTATAAATCCACCCTAGTACAAATATTTTTGGATGACTGGGTCTGTGTGTTCACAAAAGATACTAATGATTATTTGGGAAAATTAGCTGGTAAGGACATGCAAAGGAGATTTGGCCAAAATTAGAAGAGATATACATCATGAGACTCACACAGTGGCTAAAACATAATGTTGTTTTAACATTTATTAAAAACAAGTGGTGCAGAGTAAACAAATATAACAGAGCAAAACTTATTGAAACAGATGGCAATAGGATGTTTTATTATAAAAGAAATATACCAAATTGATAGAAAATGAATGTGTTAGTTCATGTTCCACATATACTTATTTGGAAAAATAGTGTGCTTTTTCACTTTACACTGAGCTATAAAATAAATTTCAAGTAGATTAAATTGGCAAATGTTTTAAAACTTAAGGAGCATAAAATTAAGTGACTAAATATGTGATATTCAAAAGGCAAAATAGTTTGTAAACATAAAACTAATATAAGAAATTAGAAGGGCTATGTCAACATACATATTTAACCATATAATATTATGTACATAAAAGTCATAAATACAACTAGGCTAGTAAAGGTTGAAAAAATTCTTGAGGTGGTGTAACAAAGAATTGGTCATACTCTATAAAGAGTTTATAGAAAATCAGTATTAGAATGTAGAAATATGTATGCATAAATCCATGTAGTTCCAGAAAAGAATGCAAATAGTGAACAATTAAAAAGTCCTTTCTTTATTCCAAAAACCAAACAAAAAGACTCTTTTTACCTGATAATATTCGCAGATTGTATGAGAGAACAGCTATTTTGAAAAGAAGTTGGCACTGTATACTGAAAATCTTTAAAAAATATCCTTTGACCTAATTATTGTACTTTTAGAAATTTGTCCCAAGGAAATAATAGGTCAGTGGTCACTACTATATGCAAAGATATTAAACATAGCACTGGCAGTGATAGATAAATGGAAGTGAGGGTTCAGTAGCAGTGAATAATTAAGTGGATATTCATAGCTATAATATTATATTGTTTAATTTTTGAGCTGTTATCATTATATCATTGAATGTGAACAGTATAATCTAAATATGCAATGTGATCTAAATATATATGTGTGTGTGTGTGTCCATATATATACACATGGACACAGGAGAATGTAAGCAAATACCAACAGTATATAAATTTAAGATATGTGGATGATGAAGATAAAGGTTATTGAATAATGTTTTTATAATTTTCTGTATTTTAAGCTTTTTACTTTTGCAATCAAAAGCTACTTTCTAAGATAAATTACCCTTTTTCAGGATGATGCTTCTTGAAAATTGCTTAGTAGAAAAATGGAGGGATCAACTTAGTAAAAGATCCATAGTAAGTATAATTGGCAACACTGTGAATATGGAAATAAATGCATTAAGGAAATTCTATGGAATTTTTCACATTGTCTCAACTGCAAGTTCCTGTGGAAGCCAGCGGTAGCAACAATCTTTGTCTTTTGAATAAGTAGTTAAGAAATATAGCTATTGGGCCGGGGATTTAGCTCAATGGTTCCACTGCCTGCCTTGCAAGTGCAAGGTCCCGAGTTTGATTCCCAATACCAAAAAAAAAAAAAAAAGAAGTATACCTATTGTTACTAGGAATTTTATCAGAAATTTATCATTTGAATTCAGAGTTGATTCAGTTGTATTCAATTCTAATATACTAGTGATTTCCAAATTTAAAAATTATTTGTTTATTTATTACCATTAATTGTTTTAATAAGTAGTAAAATACTTTAGCAGAATCTACTGGACTAAAGCCAGTATATACTGTATTTATAAGAGTCCAGATACCTAGTTGTAAAATTCATACTATCACTATACATAGCAGAATCTTTCCCCATATTTAAAATAATAACAGACTTCTGTCAAGCATTATATGCAAAAAGTAACTTTTCTGGCCAAATAATTCTTTTTTCTTTGGCCAAATAATTTTTATGAGAACATCATAGAGATATTGATCATTCAATTAGAGGAGTTAGAATGTTTTTTTTCCAATATAAGAAATCATACCAGAACTAAAGATATCAGGTAATTGGTTTGAAATTTTTAAAGCACTCCCTCTCCTGAAAAGAAGGTTAAACATACTCAGGAGAATTTATTGTTTTGGGACTCACAAAAGGAACTGCTCCTGCCTGTGTTCTGTATTTCATATGAGTAAGAATTCTTGGATAAGGCAAGAGTATATAATAGTAATTGGCTTACAGAGAATGCATTTTTACCGTGGCATTCTTTACTCAGAGCATGTCTGCGTAACAGAACTAAATACTCTTCTGCTAATTCTGAGGTAGAAACACATGGTGAAAAGCTCAAAAGGTGGTCAAGAAAATGAGTAGTGTTGCTAGACAGAAAGTTCTAGCAGAATTGGTTATCTGGTTTCCAAGTGTAAAGTAGATGAAAAGCATCCATGAAAGGCAGGTTGACCAGGGACCTGTGATTGCTGAGGAAAAGAAAGCTTCAAGAATCCCAGCTCTCTGGATCATTCACTTTGGCAGAAAATATTCCTGTATACTTCAGCAAGAATTTGAAAAAAAGTCACTACATAATAGCAGCATACAGTAATACATTTATTATTTTCTAATAGACTAGAATGTCCCCTAGGAGGGGAGGAACAATGTTTTCCTTTTTATTGCATTTCTGGTGCCTAGAACTCTGCCTGGCCCATGGTACTGCTCAAACGTTTTGCTTAGTAAAACAGACCCTAACAAAGAAGAAGCACACGTGTCCCAGCATAAATAGTGTCGATCCAAATGGTCTCGCTTTCAGTTGTGTCATACATGAGCGATATAAAGGATACATCTTTTGTTCTCAGGGAAATTTGATTATCCAGAATGATTGATTTTCCAACAGCCTGGGTAGTTGACACTTTAGTAGCTCACACTAATCCCCCTTATCCACAGCTTTGTTTGTTTGGGGGTTTTTTTGGTACCAGAGATCGAACTCAGGACCTTGCACTTTTGAGGCAGGTGGCAGAACCACTGAGCTAAATCCCTGGCCCCCTTATCCACAGTTTTGTGCCCACCAGGTTTGTTACCTGGGGTTAATTGTGGTCCAAAAACACAGTGCAATCCAATAAGGTATTTTGAGAGGGAGAGACTGTGTTCACATAAATTTTATTATAGTACATTGTTATGATTATTTTATTGTTGTTAATTTTTATGATAGTCTATTAAACTTTATCATGTGTGTACAGAAAAACACATAGTATACAGAGAGTTCAGTACTATCTATGGTTTCCACCACATGCTGGGGATCCTGGAACATATCCCCAGTGGATAAGGGGAAGATACTGCACTGCAGGAGTCTCTGACTCCCAGCCATGCACCAGTACCTGTCCTTGGCCTGTTAAGGACTAGGCCACACGGCAGGAGTTGAGTGGCAGGTAAGCAAGTGAAGCTTCATCTGCATTTGCAGCCACTGCCTACTCCCTGAGCCAAAGCATTAGATTCTCATGGGAGCACGAACCTTACTGTGAACTGTGTATGTGAATGGTCTAGGTTGTTGAATCCTTTGAATCAGCCAGGGACCACCCCCCATCACCACCACCCCACCCACGTGGGAAAAATGGTCTTCCATGAAACCAGACCCTAGTGTCAACAAGGTTGGGAATCCCTTTTGTACTAGATGTAGGCGGGTTTCCATTTTCCATTGGATGTGAGTGCGTGAGTATGATAAGAATCATCTGACTTGCTGGTGAGTTTGGGCAAGTTTCTTTCAGCCTTATCAAAGCCTTTTTCAAAGGCTTTGCAGGGTAGGAATGTTGTATAAAAGTGGTAAAAATGTAGGGGAGAGGACCTTTGGCTCTGGAGACAGTGGCGAATTTGAATCCTGCTCAGACATTTACCAGCTATGTAGCCTTCTTCAAATAACCTCTCTGTGCTTGTTTACTGGTTGTGACATCTGTAATTGCTTTTGTGAGTTTCAAATAAATGAACATATGTGGAGACTTAATCATCTATTGAATGCTTTCCAGATCACCCAGGTACATGGTAAGTGCTCAGCATGGGGGTAGTTATTGTGGAGTTGTTGTGATATTACAGTACCAAAAAAAATGCACTGATATTTAAAATTGCATGGATCATGTCAGATGTTACCTGAAAGTGCAGAAGGGCGAGATGTTTCTGACAGTCATGTTTACAAATTGCCTCCCAGCAGTGGGAAGAGAGGCTGCGGGAACAGCAGAGAACAATTCAGGAAAAGAAGCGAACAGCTGGACGCACCAGTCATAGTAATCCCCCCAAGCCAAAGGGAAAGCCACCTGCTCCCAAACCCGCCAACCATAAGAAGAACATTAAAGCTAGAAGCGCACAAAAGAAGACAAACTCCAAAAAAGCGTGAGCTAACTGCTTTCAGAAATGGAGACTTCCTTACTGCACAAGGCTGGGCATTGCCTGGGACAGCTGATGTAAGGCCACACGCCCCTTGCCTTAAGGACTCTTGCAGTCCTGTTCATAGATGCATCTTGCAGCATTTTCTTTAATGATTTGCTTTCATTTTTCCTTTTAAGCCACTCCAAGCCATATGGGTAGTTGGCACTCTGGCATGGCAGGTGTAATAATTAAAGCTTGTCGAAAGCTTTTTTGTGTACGGAGTGGTGCACACTCTTTTGACCTCCATGTAGAGGAAAGAGGTTTTTATTCTTACTGTTTGACCTAATATGCGCATAGTAAAATTAATGCCATATTTGAAAAGAAACACTTTAATTTTTTTGACAAAATATTTTATTTCTGTTTGACTTCTGATAGAACATTAGTGATACTTTACAATGTGACTGACACTATAATGCTTCTGAAGAAAGCAAGTGAAATGAATGTTGCAGAGATCTTTGTGTTTATTATCTGCAGGAGGATTTGGGAGATGAATGGGGATCTTTTTGAAAAATCTAGAGAAGCAGGATGTGGAAAATTGTAATGCATGTTTACAAGAAGACTTTCAGCTCTGTTTTTGGCTACAAATTCTAAAAACTAAAATAATAATGACAAATAAATAAAAAGGAGAGGCAGAGAGACAGTGCTCTGATTCTTGTTTTCTGGTTACCATGCCATGGTGGAGATGTTCTGATCCCACAGTTGCAATGCTGTATCAGTGTCTTCTGTGAAGAGCCAGAAATGGTGAGTTTATTTGATCCGTATTATGTAGGTGCAAATTCGTGGGTCAGCCCTCAGCGTTTTAGACCCACAAAAGAGTTGTGAGACTCGTCTAACTGCTCAGGACACCCCAGTGCTGTGATTGCTAGACTGGAGAGTTTTCTCTCTGCAAATCCAGGCACTTACAGCAATGACTTTGGGGCCATGATAGGCTGGGACTCCCAGGCCGGTTCTCAGCCTGCTATGACAGCCACCACACACCAGCCCTGTGCCTGGGAGAGCGGACAGAGGCCACTTGTCTGCCCACATTGTATGGAGGTAGCAGAACTATCTGAAAGCTTAAGAGTTATGTCCCCCTGAGATCTGCCATTATCTCTGCTCCTGGGGGGGAGGGTAAGTTAACATGCTCCATTCATATAAGATAATTAAAGAGAGGATTTGATTTCACCTTTGTAGTCATTGGGACTTAAAAGTGACTCGCGATGGGAAGCCAAAGGGGAAAGTGAGGAAAAGAACCAACGAAAAATCTGCTATGCGTGCCCAGCACCTTCTGAAAGCTTCAGCTGGGGCTGCTACCTCAGGATGCCAAGGCTAAAGGAACCCCCTGGATCCACCTAAGTGAGGGTGTCAATAAAATGCTCAGCGTGTAGTCCTGTTGTATAAAAGCCAAAACTCCTTGGCCCTTAAGGAAAGCCTGTTAGGTGTTCTGCATAGCATCCAAACTCAAAGACCCTTGGAAAAGCCATGCAAAGCCACAGGCAGCCTATCTTACCTTCTTAGCAACTAGCACTTCCATGGGGGAGAGGGATAGAAATGGAACTACATAGGGCCAGGGATTTAGCTCAGTGGTTTCGTCGCCTGCTGCGCAAGCACAAGGACCCAAGTTTGATCCCTGATACCCCCTCCCCCCAAAAAAACAACAAACAAAGAAAAAAACACAGAAATTGAATTACTCTCTGTGGAAAAGGAGGAAAACACTTATATATAAGTATTTTAAGGAACAAAACTGAATGTAATAAGGATTTGAGAATGACTTTACAAATCTAAGCATTGAATATTTTACTGCAATGATATATTGTTACATAAAATCTTAACTAAATTAGGTACCTTTATGTGTTTGATTGATTGATATAGATTTACCAGGCCACCAACTGGTTATTATGAAAAGTCGAAGTGAGCCCTAGAGAGAAGAGACCAGTGTGGGAGTGGCCTCTTGTGAGCTTCAAAAATTTGGTTTTCTCACTTAAAATATTTTCTTCACCTAAATACATGTGAGAGGGAGATAAACATAAATATATGGAAAGGAGAGTTGCAGTTCTTGGGATTTTTAATCAGGAAAAAACACATTTTGTAATACTTTATTGACAAATGTCATAACTGTGGTTAACTGGTTAACTGGGTTTCTTACAACAAAAAAAAAACAAACCCACAATTTTGTTGCTCTTTTAATAGTACAGTAAACATGTATTCTCTGTAAGCACTCAATAAATGCACAGAATCAAAAAGAATGGGATTAAAATACTACCTAATCCCACTCACCATGACACACAAGTCATCACGGTTACATTCTGGCATATAATTCTTCAGGTGTTTCCCATACATTTACATAGCGATTCAAAAAAAATAAAGGTCTGTTCAAAAGTCTGCCTCCTGGGGCCGGGGATTTAGCTCAGTGGTCCCACCAGCCTTGCAAGTGCAAGGTTCCAAGTTCAAACCCGGGTACCAAAAAAGTCTGCCTCCTCCCAGGTCTTTGCTGAGATCAGCCCTCATGTCAATAAAGCTAACAGCACCTCTTTTATAATGGCTGTGTTGAGTTCTGTGTATCAGTCAACAAACCTTTATGCTATTGAGCAGTTAGGTTATCCCTTAAGTGAACATACCAAACATCTGGGGAGCAAAGTGTCCGTGCACATCCTTAATTAGTTCCTTGGGATAATTTTGTTTAAGTAGCATCACTGGGCCAAGAAGTATGCCCAATATAGAAAATTCTTGACTATCTTGTCCATCATGCTGTGGACTGCTTGAACTGGCAAAGTGCTGGCTTCCCAAACCCCTCTTCTCCATAATTTTATGAATGTGAGCTTGGCACAAGAGGCCCCCTTTGATGAACTTCTTCCTTTCATGAGTAAGCCACCAACTATAGCATCATCCATGTTTTCAGCAGTCCAGGCAGATGCATAATTGAAAGCTTGAACATCTAAAAGGGGATATAGTCTATTGATAAATGGATGGATTGATAGGTAAGTAGGTAGGTAGATAGATGATAGAGCTAGATGTGTAGATGATATAAACAGAGAGACAGACAGACAGATTTCTTAACTACTGGGAAAAGCCCTATGCTATCTCCTTAATTTCCTAAAGAATCAAATATAATAATTTAACAGGTTAACTAGAGAATCTGAAGAATCAGAGGGTATCAAGAAACTAGTAGATTTCTCTCTTCACAAATCCCCTCTCAAGGTACAATGAAAACTTACATTATCAGGTTTAGTTCTTACTTTCCAGTTCTAAACCACACTTTCTGGTCTACCCACACTTTTGGTCTGTGTGCTGCAACATCCATAGATTTTCTGTTGCATCCTCACAATAAACTCACTTGTACCAGCTCCGGGGTGCTACTGTTTGGGGCAACCAGTTCCTGAGTAAAAAAGAAAGGGATATTGTGGCTAGGAGTCTCCACCTGCTGCTGTCACCAATGCAAAAGGCAAAAGTGATTACTTGGAATGGTGACATGAGGAGTGAAGGAGACCTCAGAAGTCACTCTCTGCTTCACTGGAGCAAGGCTGCCTGAGGACTTGTCTGATGCCCCCCACACAGAGTGAGATAGCGCTTGACCCCAGAGTTACTAAATTTTAATTTACCAGGCGATCATGCACTAATGATTTTGCAACATAAATCTGGGAGTTTGAAGGGAATACTCACTGGTCACCTCAGAGCAGCTTTTGATTATAGTCTGGTGTATGCTAACACTGACCACATTTCCTAAAGGGGAAATATTTTTGAGAAGCACTTTACTCTGAAAGATCTATTACATTATTGTTTAGTTAATTGGTAATTGTGTCACTTAACTGATAAGGAACCAGGCCATATTCTTATCAATGGAATATGTAGGGTAGGTTTTCTATTTTAATATCAGGACCCCAAAGGAGATGTCTGATTCCAGGATAGCAATGAAATACCCCCACTTTTCCTTACCCAAGCAACAGACAGAAAAAAAAAAAAAGATGAAATAAAGACACCCAATATATCAAAGTTGTTTCATATGTCACGCTTAGCATTGTGGCGTGACTCTTTCCTGACCTCTTCCCTGTTTTGGTGAATGGCTTTGATAATGCAGCATTAAAATCTTTCCACATAGCCAGGGACGTAGCTCAGTGGCACACCGCCTGCCTGGCAAGCATGAGGTCCTGAGTTCAATTCCTGGTACATAAAAAAATCTTTCCATATAAAAAAAATCTGACAGCATGTTTACTTGTTACCATCCTATGGCATGAATGTAACAGTTGATTTTTCTAATTATTTGTGTGAATGGACTTTCAAATGTGTTTCCTAAGGCATGACAGGGTAGGACAGATTTTGTGATACACATCATTTTCCACTGTCATCAAAATCTCAAGACCAGAAAAAGAAAAAATAAGACATAAAAGCATGCAAAGCACAAAGGGTTTTGTCCCAGTAACCTTGAACCAGTCTTCTTTTTGCCATCTTTGTCTTATTCACTGTTCCTGAGTTTGCCATAGCCTTAATTCAAGTTTATGTCTTCACGTTCCTAGTTAGTCTTGGCCTACAGGACAATACTCAATGAGCCCTCAGACCCATGGCTACCATGGTTAATCCTAACCTCTGACCACTCACCGGGGTGGTATCAGGCCTGCTCGTAACATACAACCTAGTAGTATGGTTTTGCTATATTTGATTCTTCCATCATCCACACCTTCACTAATATGTTAACAATATGTTAGTGATGACCAGATGCAATCCTAGAAAGCACATTCCAAGACTCCCCACATTGATTGACCACAAAGGTTTTGAATACTGTGCATATGTTATTTAAGAAACGTGATACTTTTATAATTATAAGATGTCACTAAAGTGTTATTGGAGAGCAATGTGGAAGGTCCTATTGTTTAAAGCCACATAGACATGCAAATTTGAAAATTATTTCATTGATGGTATGTGCGTTAGCCTGGGTCCTACAGAAGCAGGTGCCGAAACAGAATTAAATGTGCAAGGATTCTCTTAGAGGAAAGCTTTTGAGGGGGAAGAAGAACTGGGTAGGCCAAGAGAGATGCACACAGTGATGCATGTGATAGAATGAAGGTGACAGACGGGGAAGAAGAGACTGTCTGGGAACATTACAGATTGCAGCAACCATCCAAGGGGGAGTCTCACAAAACTACTGGGGAGGCTTCAGCCAAAGTCAACCATTAAACCAAAGTGACCTCTCTCGCTCAGGGACAGCTCTGCCTATGGGCTCTGTTGTGCTGTTGCTGAATAGGAGCAACCCGGTACTATGACTACTTTAAAAAAGTAGCAATAGACTTCAGAGTGCAGCAGCTGGAACCCTTGTCAGTTACAGCCCCTGGGTTTGGTGGTTCAACTTCTCATGACTATCGTGGTCTGACAATCATAAAAATACTAAAATTTTACCATTATATTTCCGGCACAGTCTATAAAGTGGTGATGTTAACAAAATGTCTGTTGATTTCTGTGACATCGATCCACTATGTGAATTCCTAAACCTTAAAGACTTTTATATATTCACCTATCTTTATGTTTTTTACTATTTTAAATTTATTGAAGAGAGAAATTGTCTATCGCAACTCTAAATCGTACAGTATTTATTTGCTTCTCTACTTGAAAGACACTCCTATTAGAATGTAAGGAAATACTTTGGGAAGTATTTGGCAGTAACAAAGCTCATGATGTATTTTTTGCCTTTATGGGTTCTAAGAGCAAAAACATAAGTTTAATACATTCTTTAGAAGGGTCACTTTAGGTCACTTAAATGGCAAACTTTGAAAAAGGAAAAGAACATATTACATTAGCAATTAAATTTAGCTTGACAGAGAATTTGAATAATATAATGCAGTATAAAGAACTTGAGGTAAACAACAAAAAAAGGTATTGTGTATAAAATTGCATCATGATACATGATACCAAGGGAAAATCTGAAAAACCATACCAAACTGATATAATTTTATAATTTGTTAACACTTTTAGTCTTCTGGGAATTTCACATATTCATTACGTCACTGAAGTAATTCAGCAGCTGAAAATCACATGTACAATTGCTGAGTCAACTTTCTTCCTTTACCGAAAGCATAAAATATCAGGCTTTGGAAGTCATCCAGAGTAGCTTCCAAGCAGCGAGCAAGTTCAGACACGGTTCAGGCAAGCAATAGTGTGAGGAGATCCACTTTGTGAGCAGAAAAGTCACCAAGAAAGTCCAGCCTATAGGCCATAAAGTAAAGGACGGCACACTTTGCAAAATCTGTCCAGACTGTCTGCCTACGGTGGACAGGAGCACTGGGCTCCAATCAAGGATGCTTCAGGAGTCCTACATTGGCAGGGGTTGGAAAGGACTGCTGTTGCTTGGATCTTAAATGTTCCCCAATGGCCCGCATCCAAGGCTTGGCCCCAATCCGTGGTGCTGTTGGGGCCTTCTGGGATGAAGTTAGGTCCCTGGGAATGTATCTTCAAAAAGGATATCAGGACCCCCGTGCCTCCTCTTCTGCTTCTTTGCTTCCATGCCACTGTGAGGTGAGCTGCTTCAGAACCCACCATGATGTTCTGACCCACCACAGGTCCAAAAGCAATGGGTCCAACCAACCACAGATCGAACCCTCTGAAACCCTGAGATAAAATAAAACTTTTCTCTTTTTAAGTGAATTTTCTCAGGTATTTTATTACAGCGACTAAAAGCTGGCTGACACTGGGCCATTAGAGATATGGCTTCAGGGTCAGGGTGCGGGACTGTGCCATTACAAGGGGGTGGGCACCATTCTGGGCGCAGAATCCATAAAGCCGCAGGCCTCCTCAGCCCCATCTAGCTGTTGGGACAGAACTGCTTCCCGCCCAGGTGTCCCACTGCCCACTTTC